TCATTATTTCAAAACTGCATTTTGTATTTACTCGGGTTATCTTTGTGTAATATTAAAATTAGTTTGATGATTGATTGTTTGAAATAAAAAAAACAGGAAGGGGGCAAAAATCTTTTCACGGCACTATATTTATATATATATATATATATATATTAAATGACCATGGTGTTGGTGTGCTTGACTGGCCAGCAAACTCACCAGACCTGAACCCCATAGAGAATCTATGGGGTATTGTCAAGAGGAAAATGAGAAACAAGAGACCAAAAAATGATGAGCTGAAGGCCCCTGTCACAGAAACCTGGGCTTCCATACCACCTCAGCAGTGCCACAAACTGATCACCTCCATGCCACGCCGAATTGTGTCACAGTTATCTGCTTTTGCAAATGTACTCCTCATATATTAGATATAAAAATCTTTTGTAACGTTATAAATGTTTTTCTTGTCACTTTTGATCATTTACTTTTGGCATGTGAGCTTAGTAGAAGTATGTTTTTTTTTTTTCTTTCTAAATCTTACTGACCCCAAACTTTTGAACAGTAGTGTAAGTAACAAATATGCATTGATATTGTATTTTGACTTTCTCTCCGTATCTGACTGCGGTTGCGTCTGAATCAGCATGGCTCGCCGCCCACATCAGCATTTCAGTCAGACTGTGTTCTCATCCTCAGCTGAGTTCACTTCTTGTTAGCCGCAGAGTGAAAATCCTCCACAAGTTCACTCAAAATTGCACCTGCGGCAGGAACTGTTCGCTCTCATTAGGGCCTTTCGCACCGCGGGAACCTTTTCATAGTACCAGAACTAATTGTGGAACTACCCACTTTTTGGCATTTTCGCACCGCCGGAACTGGGAGCAATTTTAGTACTGGACTGCCTTTTTCGAGAACCAAATTAGCTCCTACTCCGGAGCAGGGTCTGAAAATGCCCTCACCCGCCATGATTTAAAACGCTGTGTAAACATACTGTAAACATTGTGTCAACTTATTTCGCAAGTGGAGAACAGCGATAGATGGACGGGTGCTGAAGTGCAGGCGCTTGTAGCAAATGTAGCACTACCAGTTGTCGTTGGAGATTCTTAGTCCTCCTTTCCATTCTTTCAATCGCTTTACGTATACGTCGACTTTCCATGTCCATTATTGTGAAACCCGCGAGACACAACAAAAACACCGCTCTGATCACAGCGTCCTCCATCCTCCTGTTGTTAATGTTGTTCTTCTTTGTTTCCGTTGTTGACGTCCAAATGACGTTGTTGTCGACCGGCTTACGTCACTTCTTAGTACACACTGTCGGTGCGAATGCAACCCTTTAAATGGTACTGGGAAATAGTTTGCGCAAAATCGTCCCAGTACTTTAGTACTGTACATTTAGTTCTGGAACTAAAGCGGTGCGAAAGGCCCTATTATCTGCTTGGGCAGGTGTGATCTTTCATCAGCCCTGTGATTGTCAGCCATGCTAATGAAGCACTTTCCATCTCTCGCCGCCAATCATTCCATGATTCCTCCGCCCACGCCACGCCTCGCCTCGCACCGGATCCACTACATCATCCCGATCCAGAGTGAGAGCAGCGGCGGGATGGAATGTAGCTCTCGCTCCAGGAATAGCTGGCGGTTTGAACCCAGGGAGCCAGGAGACAGAAATAGATGCTTCCACTGCGCCTCACTCATTGCTTAGCAACTGGCTCGCCACACTCCTCCATTCCGACGTTTCCCTCCTTTTTCTGCGCTCTGGTTTTCTCGCTGTCTTTGGTGCTGCATTGCGATGAAGTGCATCACGGCTGAAGGAACTGTGAGAAGAGCGGGTTTAACTCTTACAGACACAAACACAAGCTCAGGCTGAAAGAAACTACAGATTAATAAAGAGACAGGAAGTAGAATCAGAATGGCAGGAAGAGGAGTTTACTGAAATGTAATTTAAAGAAATGAATCTATCCATCCATCCATCCCAGTCGTTCATTCTTTCTATCATTCTATCTTTCTGTCCTTCTATCATTCTATCTTTCTGTCCTTCTATCGTTCTATCTTTCTATCTATCGTTCTCTTTCAATCGTTTTATCATCTATCATTCTGTCATTCTCTCTATATTTTATTCTATCATTCTATCTTTCTATCAATGTATCATTCTCTATCTATATATCTATCTGTCATTCTATATTTCTATCATTCTATTGTTTTATCTATCATTCTATCTATCTGTCTGTCTTTTGTCTATCATTCTATCTAGTTATCATTCAGTCGTTCTCTCTATATGTTGTTCTATCTTTCTGTCGTTCTATCTATCATTCAGTCATTCTCTATATTTTGTTCTTGCATTCTGTCTTTATATCATTCTATCTATCTATCCATCCATCTATCTATCCATCTATCTAAACTTGATTAGACAATAGACAAAACCATAAACTTTTTAAACTTTTTTTCTTCCTCTGAAAATAATTTCATAACTGTAGAGATACAGGAACAGTCCTGTCAGCACCTGCACTGACTCAATCCCATCAGCAGCTCTGTGTGTATGTGTATGTGTGTGTGTGTGTGTGTGTGTGTTCACAATGATGTATTAAGATCTCTGAGAAGAGAAGGCCTTAAGGACTGTTCTGTACATTAAACCACATCAAAAGTCTTTTATCCACCAGACAAACTCACTTTCTTGCCAAAAACCCACACGCGCACCTTCTCTCAGTCTTCCTGCCTCTCATACGTCTGTCCGATTCTGTGTGATTAATGTTCGCCTCAGCCTTCATCATAACATGTATTTAACTCTCTCATTCCATCCCTCCATCACCCCCTTTCCACCCAGAAACGGAAATCCAGCTCCACCGTTCAGTACATGGTGAGAATGATATTTAATCCTAATCTCTTTATCCCTCCGTCCCTTTCTCTTCTCACTCTTGTTTATCCATTCATTCATTTGCTCATCCTGTTGGGCTTTTATGTCATTTAATGCACAATGTCGAATAAATCTACTCTTGTAATGATCTATATTGATTCTTCTCCTGCTCAAATGTCAAGCGGTTGATTTAAAGGGTCAGATGGCTTTAAATGACTCCTCAGACGCAGGTGAGGGTCGTAGTGTTTTTGGGTTGATGTTATTGTAGGGTTGGATAGCGAGTCATTTTTGACCGTCAATGTGTTAGACTGGCACAGAATGTCTTGTGTGTTTGGCTTTTTGTTGTTGCTTCGCTGTGTCTGTCTCTGTTTGCTGTTGTCTCTGATTGTACTTCCTGTGGATCCATAAGGACTCTCCTCTAGTTCTGCTTTCCTACTGCGACTTTCTCTAAGAAAACAATGGACCAAGCACAGGTTTTCTGAACTGTTTGCTTAATTCTGTTTGCTTTTTTTAATTAATTTTTTTATTCCTTTCATTCAGCCTGCTGGGGGAAATAAAACATAGCATCTTAAGCTGGAAAAGCTGTTTTTTTGCTGGTCTAGGGTGAACTACTAGCTTTAACCAGCTTTATCAACACAACCTACCAAGTCAGCTTTATACTAACCATCTTGACCAGCCTGGACCACAAAGAAACCATGTAAAACCAGCTATCAGAAACTGGTTTTAACTGGCTTTTCCAGCAGTGCTTTGTGATACATTAAAATTATTTCCAAAAATGTTACATGTTAAAAGAGCGAATCTCAGAAAATGTGTAAAGAACTGGCCCAGGCCACATTTCATGTCAAAAAAAAAAAATGGTTACATTGTTTAAAGAAATGAAGACATTTTTAGAACTATCAAGATGATATGGCATTGTAAAAAAAATTCATCACAATTATGCACATTTTCCCAACATAATTTTTCTGTTATGTTAATGAAAAAAAAGCAACTAATAAATATTGTAATGCAGTAGAATATAAATAATGAAGTATTTATACACCATGGTAATTAATTATTACGTTTTTTTTACAGAATACATATAATTTGTACATAGAATTGTTTAATGAGAATCTAATGATAATCCCTATTTGAAAATACCAAAATATTTAATTAAAATAAATAATAAATGCATCATCTACTGAAATTACTAATATTAATTTAATTAATTTAATTAATTATTTATGAAATATTATTAATATTTATCTTTCCATCAATCTTTTGGTCTACCTTTCCATATATTTGTTCTATCTATTTGTTGTTCCATTATTAAAATGATTAATTAATTAATCAGTTACTTACGGAAGAGGATTTGGGCCAAGCAAAAATAAAACTTTTTTTTTTTTAATTAAACCATCTCGAGATTAAAGTCGTTAAATTTCGAGAAAAAAGTTGAGATAAAATGTTGGAATTAAACTCATTAAATTTCGAGAAAAAAGTCAAAATAACCAACGAGATGAAATGAACATAACACGAGTGTGTTTATTCTCTATTTTTTTTCTCGAAATTCAGTGCGTTTATTCTCAACATTTTGTCTCGACTTTTTTTCTCGCAATTTAACTATCAATTAAATTCATAAATGATTTTTAAAATATTTTTTTATTTGTCTTATCTGTTGGTCTATCGTTCCATCTATTGTTTTATCTGTTGTAAAATGAATAATTAATTAATGAGTTAATAATATTAATTATTAAATTAAATTATTTAACAATAATAAAATATTAAAACTGAAAACATCCAGATACATAAATTAATCAGAAATATTTGGGCATATGTGCTAAATTGTCATAAAATAATTGTCAAAAAAGCAAATAATTTGAATGGTCTCCCAAAAAAGCTTAATTTTCTCAAACTTTCCTTGTTTTTCTTTTTAATTCTGTGGTGAAATGTGACATTGACATGGAAATGTACTTCAACGGTTCAGGAGATTCAACCAAATGTATTTGAACAAATGATGCGCCACTCAATGAATCTCCAAGACCATCAGCCTAGTGTGTTCAGTTGTGTTTTTAAACCAGTGTTGAGCTCAAACATAAAACACAATCCTCACATTATCACCCTGCTCTCTCTCTCTCTGTTATTTCTCTCTTTTCTCGCACTTAAACACCCACTGACACCCTTTAACACTGTTTTGTGTTCTGCACAGCCACAGTCAAACAGTGCCAAAAACAGCATAGTCACCAGTCCCAAAGGAAACGTCCCTTCTCCTGTTCTGGTATTTACCTTCTTGTTCCTCTCTGTTCTCTCTCGCTCCATCTTCTCCTGTCTCACACATGTCTGTCTGTGTCAGCGTCTGGCGCATCTCAGGCCACCTGTCGTAGACGCTGTGTGTCTGTCAGAGACTTGAATCCAAGCATCTTCATCTTTGTCATTGAAACAATGTTAATGTTATGATCGATGAGATTTATAATCCAGATTTGGAGAATTTTGATGCTTTGAGCGTCAGTTAGCTTCATGTTTTCACAAAGATGTGTGCTGAGTGTGTGCATGAACGTTGTGTTTTTCATTGTTTGGATCAATGGCAAAACAACCAAACTAGGGCTGTTAAAATGGCTGAAAAACTAAATTCGAATTTTTTACAAACTAAATTTTCGAATTATATTCAAATTTAAAAGGCATAATTTCAGTTAGGGGGAAAAAACAGGGTGTCCGCGGATCCTTAAAAAGTCTTAAAATGTCTTAAATAACGTTTTCCTAATATAAGGCCTTAAAAAGTCTTAAAAAGTCTTAAATTCGGATTCGATGGGTCTTAAATATTTTTGGTCTCATTACCGCTCAAATATCTTCAGTCTGACGGACCTAATGACTTTACAATCATTGGACAGACCGACCCGCGGTAAGTTACTGCGTCATCAGAGAGAACTGCAGAATACAGAATACAAGCTCGCGCTGAGGCTCACTCGGTTTGTCTCGAGACTTCAGAACAAACGAGCGTGACAGCACACATAAACGCAGAAGAGGTAAAAATTCAAAATGTTTAGTTTATTCATAACATGATATAGTTAAATAACACCATGACAACTGAGCTATTTTACTCAATATTCTCACGACGCAAAAAACAAACAAACATTCAAAACACCTACAGAGTGCACGCATTACGTGAAGTCTAGTGCACGTGCGCATTTAGAGTGCGCTCTGCCTGATCACTGCATGATTCAGTCTATTAAAGTACATTCAGAATGATCACAAATTCAAGACATGGGGACAGAAAATGTGTATATTTATACTCAAGTTCACACGGAAGAGTGCCTTTTTTTCTCCAAAAATTACCATATACAAATGTGATATTGATTTTTTACAACAGTTCAATAAACTAGAAGTTTTATTAAGAGACTTATGTTTTAGACACCAATATTGCCTGTTTTTGGACTATTTCGCCAACAAAAATAACTCCAAACAAAGCCACAGCGCTGTTTTGCGTCTCTGAGCAACATGATAGTGTTTCGTTCCTGAATGAATCAACCGTTTAAATGATTCGGTTCAATCGCAATGACTCCCTTAACAGTGACTTACTGCCACCTACTAGCGCTTTTAATTTCACATTTAAAGTATCTTTTCATTTTTTTTTATTATTTCAAATATCAGTATTCAATGTTTTATGTTTAATATATCAAAACATTATTTATGCATTTGTAACGGCAGGTTAAATGCATTCATGTTCTGCATTAAACGGCATGTAAACACATCTAAATGCCACTTCAGATGCTGCTTATGTCTGGATTGCAAAGATAAATCTTGTTGATACTGATTTCATTTCCTTGGTAACAGCCCAAATGTCTTATTCTTATTCACTGATTAAATGTAAGAATTTGACTCAAAAGATAATGCACACTTATAGAAAAAGGCTTTATAAAGGTAAAATGCCCATAAAAGGTAAAAAACTATTTAAACTTATCTGACCACCACACAGAATATGAAGAATAGTCAGCTGTCCACGAAAGTCCTTAAGAGATGCATGATAACACACTCAATCAGTTGAATGAATGACTCAATACTCACTCATTAAGTGACTTACCGTCACTTACTGGTCGTTTAGTTGAGAAGTATGTTGAAAAGTATGCATTTTCCCCCTCAACATTTCTTATTTGTATATTCATAAATGCATTTAAAACA